CTGCAGCAAGTTCGCTCAACAACTTCGGACTCTTGGGGCTGATTGGTCTCTGATCGATCAATTTGTAGCCCATGTTGATTATTTAATCGTAGCTCTCATTTCCGGCATGTCAAAGTTGACTTCGTAAATATTAACGAACAATCTAAATGACAATTATTTAGAACTTCCAATGCTCGGAGACGCATACACATGTGTGTAAACATTTGCTATGCACTGTTTCCGGCTTATAGAGTTTGATTTTGAATATTTACTGAAACTCTGACATATTTGCTGTGCACTCGCTTAGATTAGATTTTAGAGAATAGAAGCAACAAATTCTTTTACTTCCTGTTGCCTCAGGTAATATATTGTAGATTATATGTATAAAGAGTCATTTTACATATCTGTAGATATATTGATTTATTACAATTTATAGCTTTGCGATTTGCATATATCAAACTACGAAAAGAGTCGAAATCAAATCAAATTAGTAATTGCAACTCAGTAAAATATTGCTAGAATAAGATAAAAGAAAAATAAATTCGGAAAATATTTTATAAATTTATGTCAATGTATAAACTTGCAATTTTCTACACATTTATATCAAATTGATTGCTATTTAGCATTATTTATAGTTGTTCGTATTGAATCTAGAGAGAGAGTTGAGCAAAATCGTATTACTAATTGCAACTTTTAATTAAATATCGAGTTACCATTGAAAGATACGCAGCGAGTGCAATTTCAAGCAAGAGTAATGGCCGTCTGGTCGGGTCCTTTCAATTCGATTCTGGCAAAACATTTCCGTTTTTGAAATATTGCTTTCCATTTCGTCGTTTGTTTTTCCCCCTTTTTTTCTGGCTGGCTGCTTGCTGGTGACCCAATGTAAGCCACAGAGAGAAATCCTTTGCTGCTGGCGTTGTTGTGGCTCTGAGTGCCCCGCCCACTGTGCAGCGGAGCGAGGTTAAACAAACCGGCAAGCGGCAGCGCTTTAAGCAATCGATGCGAAGTGGAATGTTTTCGACAACAACTTAGCTGCTTTAGCCGAGCTAAAACATCTTGTATTCCACGAAATAACACTAATTAACTTTAGAGGCAAGCTAAGTATTAGCTGACAGCGCGCTAATCAAATGTCAATTACCTGCCCAGCTTCACTTCACCGTCAGCCGCTACGATTGGGGTTTTTCACAGGTATTGCGGCCTCCACACATGACCCGCTGACAGTTTTCCAATTGTGGAACTTTGGCATTCAGCCTCTTGCGCTCGTTGGTTTTAAGTTTTTGACGTTGTTACACACTTGCCGGCGCTGTGAGCTGACAGCAACTTTGTAGGCTTGCTTCGTTCTGTCTTCGCCCACAGCTGAGCAGAGCAGAGCAGAGCAATTCGCGGCCCTAATGGAGTTTCTGCTCACATGTCTCTTTTGTTGGCCTACGTTTCTGATTGCCTGTTTCCCAGGAAATATTCAGCTGACAGCTGCGAAATTTCAGCTAGATTAGTTATCAAGTGTGGACAATGCATATTTGTATATTTAAATGCGTATATATCTTGGCTGAGTTGTAAATTTTGAATTAAAGCCATTTACAGATTTATTCAGTCTTTAATCAATTTAAAACATTTCACAAAGTTGCCTTTGGCATTTACAAATCTACAAGAAAAATATTTATGTTTTGGTGAAATGCTGAAAGAGAAGGCAAATGAAAAGTGAGCAAAGGGAGGAGCAAAATATATAAAGAATATTTAATTCATAATAATCCGATTAATTGCATGTGTGCATGTATATATAAATAGGCTTTCTCTCAAATGTAAACAGCCCCGAGGTGGTATAAATATTGTGTAGTTTCAGATTTTATTTGTTAAACCTTTAATAGCATGTATTTGGCTTTGGCTTTAATAGCGTTTGTTCACGGGGAAGGCATTTTTGATGATGATTTACTTACGGTGCATAGTAGGGGAGCAGCCTAGCTATATTAAGTAACTAAAAATTAAATTAAATACTTCTAAATATATACATATGTATATACAACAGAGATCTTATACACTGCATAAAACTTCGAAAGGAAAATCTTGCACTGATTATATATACATCTTTTATTTTTACTATATCTGCATAGCTTTTAGCTAACAACGTATAACTTACGAAGTTTCGCCGTCATATAAGCAGTATTTTATTTAGATATGTAAGAGAGGTACTTGGAGTAAAACTTGTAAGCTCCTACTCCTCAATAAGGTTACTCCTCATATACAAAATAACATTTATGTCTTGCGAGTTCTATCCTCGTCTCGTGTTTATTATTCACTCAATGATTTGCTGCCCATTTAATTGTCCCTTAAATATTTCCATGCTAAGCATTAAATAAAGTAAATTCCTCTTCTTCTTCTTTTTCTTCTGCTTCTGCATGTCCTTTCTAAGCACTTTGGCTTCTCGCTTTGTTTCGCTTTGCTTAGTTATATTTATGTTGGGCCTAAATCTAGCTCAGCTGTTTAGATAAGTGCAGCCTAAATTTGGGATTAAATTCATTTTGCTTACTCTACAAAGCTGTCGCACAAATATTTCACATTTCTCTGCTCTCTCTGCTTTCCTTCTGTCAGCTGAGCCCAGACCCAATTTCATTGCCAACAATTTGCAGTTCATTTTGGGCTTTCACTTTATTTTATTTTTTTTTTTTTTTTGGCAAATTGTTTTAAATGTAATTTTGTAGGCTTTTGTTCGCTTACCTATTTAATTTATATGTATTTTATTTACGTTTCTTTTTCTAGTTTTTTCTTTTTTTATTCTATTTCTGCTTTTATTTCAAGCCACAAATTAGCGCAATCAATTTGAAAATACGTTCGATTTTCTCTTAGAGCTCTGGGCATTCCGTGGGCCGACGTAATGAAATCAATTCGAATTTAATGCTGCCCAGTTCACAATTTGTTTGTCTCTTTATTGGAATTTGTTTGAAATTTATTTTCGGAATTTATGTCGGCGCATTGGCATTTGCATTTGCATTGCGATTTGGCATAGACGAAAATAAATTAAATTTTTGCGTTCGCCAGCCACGAGCCGAACCAATATTTACCTAGGCCTCAAAGGCCGTCTGCGCCTTCAATTTGCTGTCTAGACTGCAGATGCACAGCAAATCGTTATAATTTTATTGAACTCTGCACAAGTTGGCTGCATGGAGTGAAAAGGTCGTTTACCAAAATAATTTACAGAGACTCAAAGAGAGAGAGGGGGAGGGAGAGATAGGGGTAGAGGTCATTCTGTGATAAATTACAGCACATTGTAAGTGCCAAAGCAATTGAAAGAGATTTGATTGAATATTCACCTTGCACAGACAATCATGAAATCTGCTTGTGGTCTCACCTGGACCAAAGGCTGCCCAGGTAACAATCGCAATTTAAAATTGCCATAAACTCGTTTTTGGAAATTAATTTGCCATTTGCTGCCTTGGCTCGGCCAGCACGTGTCGCAACAGGAGACGTGCCACATCCTGCTTTGTTCTAGCCAGCTGCAGGCGGCATCTTGTTGCTTACTTCGGCCAGGCGGGCACATGTGATGGAATGGCAATTTCAAAGTCATTAAGATGCGAGGGTGAAAGCTTCTCGGAAAACGTTATTTGAACTCATATAAAATCTTTATGGCTTGCCACACAGCCATCACTCATTCATTTTTTGTTGTTTTGTTGGGTGGGCGAGGGCACGTGCCCTGCCATGCCATTAAATGTAGCATACTTTCTAGCGCTCGCTTCAAAATAATTGAAATCACCTGCTAAATGGCAAAGCTAAATTGCATTTTAATGAACGTTTTGGCCGCTGTTGGCCCGAGTGCCAAAAGGAAATAAACAAACACAAGCATTGCCAACTGTCGAATGGACAACTGGGCGAACCAGTCAAGAGTTTATGTGTGTGTGTGTGTGTGTGTGTGTGTGTGTGTGTGCTGGCAGTCTGCCTAGTTGATATTTGCTCTGAGCAAAGAAAAGCAAAGACTTCGATACGAGCTGCGCTCTGCTCAGGCTAGTTAATGGAATTTCCTGCCACAGATGGACAACTGCGACACGAACAGCCCCAGGCCACGGCTAGTTTTCTCTGCATATTTCAAAAATTTGCGTTTGCCTTTTATTTGCCAGCACTGGAATGCGAGTACTTCAAGGCATTTGCCTGGGGTTTGCGCATATTGCCAAAACACTCCGTTAGTCAAAAGTTGTTAGGCTAATTGAATATTCAATGCGACCACTGAGAGCGCCTCAAGCCGCAGAGCAATTAATGCGCTCTCATTACAGATGCAAAATAAATAATTCAAAAATAAACTGTGGATTTTCATATTTGGTAATTTGCCCAATAAGATACGAATTGCGGCAGGTGGCCCAGGCAGCCCACGTAGAAATTTGATTGACTTTTGCATTATTCAATTTGAGCCTTAATTATGAATTATCTATTTCCATGCTATAATTCCGGCTGCATTACGCCAGCATATTGGCTCTGCCAACAACTGGCGGCTGCCTGATTATTATTACAAGCGCCATTCCACATCGACAAATTGTAATTTGAATGCAATTTGTATGCAATTTGCATGCAAAATGCAATCGAATCTCATGATTAAAGCGTGTTGCATTTGCCTGCCAATGCATTGTGGACAAACTGGCGGGAATCGAGCTGTGATCAAAGAGCTAAGCTCAAAATATTCGTTGACGTTGATTAAGGGAAATATTTCTGACTTTGTTGACGTTTACTCTCAGCTAAACTTTAGTTTTTATTTGAAAGAGAGCGAAGAAGAGCTTGACATTATGATAAATGATGTGCTATAAATTCGTATAAAAATATCATGTGGCAACATGCCTGAAGTTGACGGATTGGCTTTTCGCTTGTGCGCCGTATGAAAACAATAAAAATATTTTATTATTCTCTTTATTTAAAAACATTAAATAAAAAATATATTTATTTAGCAAGCAAAATTATTGCAAATTTCAAGCCAAAAACTTTTAAATAAATAAATGTTATTCAGCAAATATTTTCCTTCTTAAAATCCGACTTTGTGTTCGCTCATAATATTTAAGTAAATATCACATTTAACGACTTGTATTAATATTTAAAAGCTAGCACTTAAATTATTTAAATGTTTGCCAAGGAGCAAAAAATATATTTTCCTCATTTTCGTCTGCGAAAAAAAAAATGAAATGTTTTTCTTTGGAATGGAAAATGTTTTGATAACGAGCAACCGCAGACTGCAATTATAATTATTTTTTGCAAAAGTGTGCCGTTGTCACAACAATAAAAGCCTCGGAATAATAACCAGCATTTTTATTATTATAAAAAAAATGGAACGAAGCACTGCAAAATGTTGGCACATGACGGCAAACTGTTGATTTTGTAATTTTTATTTTTATTTTCCCTTGTGCGTCTGACTTTTAAATCTTTAATTCCGAACACAAAGTGACATTTTTTTTGTTGCTTCCATTTTTTGTTCGCCATATATATACATGCATATATTTGACAGTCAAGTTTTTGTGCCGTGCCCCAATCATTTTTGAATATTAATCGAGCGTGAGAAGTGTTCGCATTGCCAAACGAATCGAAGCGCGGAGGCGTGGCAGCGCAGACACCCACAAAGGCAATATAAATGCATAAAACTTTATTGAAATCTGTGAATGACTGGGAAATGCTCTAATTTGAGCAAAATAAAAGCAAGTAATATGTATTTTATGATGTATTGCATTATTGTAGTAGGCGGATATGATATCATCCAAGTAAAGAGAAAATGAGAAAGCAATTGTAAATAATATCTATGATATATATATATATATTTTTTTTTATGGAATTGTTTGACTTGAATATGTCTTCATTATCCACAACTCATTATATTAATGCCGCCCACTCTGTTTTAAAGCTCGCCCAGTTGCTCTTCGCATTCAAATTTCATTCGCTCTGGCTTCAGCTGACAAGTTTATTTTGTGTCTCCTGTTATTGTTTAGTAAAGCGACGCTCGAGCATCCGGCCTGTCACGCGGCTGATGTGCGGCATTCAGACTGTCAAGTGTCACTTATTGAAATGTCAATTACCGTTTGCTTATGCGGCTCGAGTGCGGCTGTACGGAGCGTCAAATGCTGTTTGTAACGTGTCAGGTGTAATGCAAGGTGTAAGCAGCGGGGCTACAAACGGCGGTTTGGCTAACAGTTCACAATAGCACGGAATGGCAACTGGCAGCTTGTCCATATCCGACAATGATTCATACCTGAATGATTCACATTCATGCATGCATGATTCACATTCATGATGCATGTAATTTAATACAAGTTTAATTAAGATATTTGCAGTACATTGAAGATGCAGCTTAACTGGGAGTTGTGTTAATGTTGAAGAGAGAGAGAGAGAGAGGGAGACAGAGAGGGAGTTAGAAAGGGAGTAAAAAGAAAGCTAATTGGCAATAGACAACAACCAAGTAGATCAGCCACTAGTTGCGCTCAATGGTTTGATTGCTGTTGCTACAAAAAATATGCAGTTAGCTCGACCTCAACAGCTCGAGGACTGCCCCAAGGGCCACTTGCTAAATGCATGCATGACGACATTGCTTTGTGGCTCACAGGTGAGCTCATCAAATAGTCGATGCAACAGCTGCCCAGCCTCAGCATGCTAACACGCCACGCAGCAGCAAGGCGGGCGGCAGCCAAATCAAACCAAACAACAATTTTTTCACTTCGCGCTGGGCTAGAACAATGCATTTTACAAAAGCCATTGTGATGCGATTGTTGATGGTGCGCTGTGGTGCTTTAAAGGATTTGCATGACAACTGCCCACTTTAAGATACCCTGTAATGATTTAAAGTGAGAGTTGCATTCGTTAGTCTCTGTCTAATCTCGGCCATGGCGTCGGCAGCAATTAAAAAGCCAATTGAGAGTTGATTTATTGATTGATGCAAGCAATGAGCAAATGCAGCAAAAATGTTCAGTTATTTTTGGATTTTATGTCAACAAGCACTCGACGTGTAATTAAAATAAATACATTGCATTTGTTTGCACAAAATCGAATATTAAAATGTGACTAAAATGTTTGCACACACTACGATTTATTTATCAAGTAACAGTGAATGAATTCCTATTTGTTTATTGTCTAGATGCAAAATAAAATATTGACAATATGTAAATGCAAATTGATTTCGCAGTTGCCCAAACTTTATTCACTCTCTCGATATAAAGTAAACTCAATTGATAACTTTAGTGGCTACGAATTTTAATTTAATCTTTAACTTAATTGTTGAAAACTCTTTCTCTCTCTCTCTCTCTCTCTCTTTATCTCTCTTTGCTCTCCATTTGTTTTTTAGAGTTTTAGTTTGCTTGGAGCACTGCAAGCATTTGGCACACCATTAGCGCACGGCGTCTGTTTGCCAAAATATTTGATAGACGTTGCCAAAAATGTGACTAAATTAAGCCTATTACCCGACAGACCGAGGGACAGACAGCGTTTTCGCTTAAATTGTTGGCAAGCGTTTTATAAAACACGAAAGTGCACTCACAGCAAATGCTGACAGGCAGTTCTCAACTTTTTCGAAAGGCAAACAAAAAAACAACCAAGCAAATGTCGGCCACCAAAACTTAATGCAATGATTAACAGTCGACTACAGGATGCTTTGTCTTAAGGATTAAGAATATGCTAATAAGGAGGTAACATAAATCAGGCAAAATAAGGTTTAGGCATTGATGATAAATTGCTGCTCAAAGTCAGCCAGAGTATTTAATGCATAGTGCTATATATGGAAGCATATGAAAAGTCTTATCGATGTAGTAGTATGAACCAATGGTATATTGAAAGCTACTTAGCCTGATATTATAGAGGTTACAAGGACTGTTCATATTCGATTGCCTATAAGATTGTCAATTTTTGATGGACTCATATTTTTCCTTCTTTTTTTCATGATGATGATTATAATCATTTCATTTGCTTCAAGTAGATTCGTATACTTTACCTTTTGGGTCTGCTTATCTCTGTCAAAATGTATGGGATTGTCAGATTATTTCATTAGTCTTAAGTAGATTTGAATATGACATCTCTTAAATATCCGCCTTGAGCCAAAATAGATATGGGTCTGCCGGATAGATTGTTGAATTAGTAAGTTAAGTTAAGTTAAGTGTTAAGTCCCATGTTCCACTTAACTTATTAGCATATTATTGTTTTGTAAAAGGCACCAAGAGCTCCTTAAAGAGCGATTAATATATTATGCGCTAATATATTAATTACGCTATGATCAACAGCAAAAGCAGACACAGCATAACAGCAGACTTAACCGTGTATTTTGAATTACAATAAGTAGAAGTAAAATTTATTCATTGGCTTGCACTCGACCTGATTAAAGCAATGCTGGCAGCCATTGAGTGCAGATGATAAATTCCATGTTGCTATGGAAGCCGAGCTCTGCTCTTGTAACAGCTGGATATTTCAATGAATTTTTAAACTGCAAACTACTCCATAATATTGTATGCTATATGGCACTCTTATAACTGAAGATGTCTGGAGAATAAAATCAACTCAGCTTCCACTGCTTGGAATGCCAAGCAGATCTAAATGCTCTGGCTTTTTATGCGGCTTAAACGGCTACACGATTAAGGGCCATGATATTGTTTTATATAAAAATATATATATGCATATACATACATATATTTATATGTATACGAAAATATTCACAGCGTGCACAGCATGGCGTATACGCAACGTCCCTGGCAGCTGTGTTTTTGGTGGCGCGCGCGTGTTCGTTCGACTTGTAGGGGTGCACACTCGAGTTATTAGCATATTCTCAACATGCTGAGCTACTTAATGATGCAGAAATGTATCAAAGTCATGAATGGAGCTTAGATTCGAAATCCGTGCCAGCTTTAGCCATTGATTATGCATATGTCGCGCATATCTGACACAGGATTTCGCCAATTGCTTGCGAGGAACGAATGAGCTGAGCGCTGCTCATGACGTGGCGATTTGGCTGTGTGTGAGTGCATGTTGTGTTATGGCTGTCCGTCGTAATATTTCGCTATTTATTCATGCCAAAAACGTGCCGCGTAACACAAAGTAAACTATTTTCGCAGCCTGATCGGAATTCAATGGAAGCAGAGCACAAAAATTCCTCGCAGCCTTATCAGCTGTGCTGCCAATTAAAATCTGGCTTAGTCATAGACCGAATTTAATTAATGCCCAATCAAATTCAGTCTTTTATTGCCATTTCCATTCGCCTTTCTTTGCTTGTCTTTTGTGTTTTACTTTTTGCTTCGTTCACTTTTGTTTGCAAATCACAAAGGATTAATTTAATTCAATCAAATACTCGGCTAATCAGGCGAAAAGATTCGCTTCCATTTGATATCTTACGCTCCATTCTGTTTGCCGTTCACACACAGAAAAAAAAGTCGAGAGGATTTCAAATGAAATTCGCGAGATTTTATTTAGAAACTTTTGACAGAGCTCAGGAGTGAAATATTTAATTTTCAAGTGCGAGCGAAAAACAGAAACTCATTATAGTCGTAATTCAACAAATGAGTACAAAGCGCCCCGCATTAAAACTGACACTCGAAATTACTGAGCTAAAAGGATTAAACCATACAGAGCGGAGCAGCTGTAAATCCTCGAGCCGTGTAATATACGTACGTGCGTGTGCATGTGTGTGTGCGTGTGTGTGTGTGTCTCGGTGTGCATACGCTCAGCCAGGTGCAAATGCCCGACCCGGAGACTCGGCCACCCGGCGATACTTAGAAAAGGGTTGTACCTAGAAAATAAGTGGCAACCGCTTAACGAGCTGCCGGGATTCTTGTGGCTTTAGCGAAAATGTGCGCTATGCCAGGGCTCAGCACAGCACGCCGCGCACACAGCATTTATGGAAGGCGGGGGTGGGCGGGTGTGCGGGTGCGCAACGCTGATTTATGCAAACAGCCAACGAGATGGGAGTAAATTAACGCCTATGCAGCCCAGCAAAGTCTGCTAATGGAAGTGCCAACGACTGGAATGCCACATCACACACATCTGCTGGGGAGTAGTATCTGTAGCAGCCTAGGCTGGAGCGTGTTAAAAGCAAAACAACATTTCTAAAACCAACCAAATTGATGTAAGACTACAGAGTTTTCCAGTTTGTGCAATAATCAAAGCAAACTAACTATTGCTCCTAAAAGCTTTTTCTTCTTGCCCTTCTCATTCTCATTCTCATTCTTATTGCATTTTGCACAGCAACCAAACATAATTCAAGGCAGAGTGCTCAATCAAATCGTGCTTTGTGCCATCTAAATCTAATAATCCAATTTGAAATTGTCAATATAGGCAGAACTCTTATCGAGCCCCTATTATCGAGGCTTACGCTCCAGCCTGGGCATATTTATGGGGAAAGTTTGACGCACTCTGTTTGCCTGTGGCCAGCCGCCTCTTCCAGAGAGTATTGATATTTATTGATATACATATAATCCCTGGATTATTAATCAATTTGGTAAACAAACTGGCGCAAGTCTGTCTATGCGTATATATTCATTACACTTTCAGATTGTTCGCAGGCGTCTTGGCTATCAGCTGTCGTCGCTGTCGCTGGCGCTGAAATTAATGTCGGCAGCAACAGTTGCTTTTGTCATGCTTTGTCATCATTATGGCGCACAGACTTTGATGTCCAGACCCAGACACTGAGCTGCTGGGAACAAAAGAGTTTTGTGTTTCGCTTAGTCGGCCCAGGGCTGAGCGAAAGACAAAAGAAATGCCAGAAAGTAATGAGGGCGCCTCCACTTAAAATGCCAATTGTAATTGCAATAATGCGGCTCAAGGTGGCTCATATATCGCCTGAATGCATTGCGACTTCAACTCAGCGCAAGTGAATGCATCTGGCAGCGGCCTCAACTGAATGCTTGAACAGTTCACTGGATAAACAAGTGCAGAGTGCAAAGCACTCAAGCAACGCAGCAAATGTCCTTGGCTCTGGCATCACAATGAAAGCAGCTGGAGTAGAGTCAGGGAAAGCGCTCTGAACTTTGACTTGACACACGAAATTAAATTGAGCTCAAGATTAGCTTTAAGTAAACAGTTCTCAATTCTTTAGTCTCCTGCCTGCATAACTCATACGCAGCGTATGCCAGCGGTACTTGAGGCTAATCTGGCCCAAAGCCGCATAAAACATTTGTCTAAGCCATGCGATTATACTTATCTATATAGGCCACAGCAGTGTGGCTCCTCTGGCCACTTCCCGCTGGCATTTTTATTTGCTGCTGGCATTTTTATTTTCCAAGTCAAAGGATTCACAACTAGATTTCATTTCGCAAGCTCGCGCACAGCACAGCATGATGCGAAAATTTCCACACATTGTCGCTGTCATATGGCTTCTGATGGCAAACCATGACGCGGCGCATAAACAGTGAGTCGCCAAAAAGAAAATATATATATTAATATATATGTTTTATGTTTGCTATGTGAATGACATCTGAGAATAAAGCCTCAGTTGTTGATCATTGGGTCACGTTGAAGGTAGCGCTGCATAAACAATTGTAGTGCCTACACTCGATTAATATTTTTAATTATTAAACTACCGATACTATCGGATTGTAATATTTATTTGATTTATAGAAATCTTGGCTGATTAGCTAAGTAAAGTTTGTATTGAAGTAAAACATAAATTTTTATGTATAGAAATATATATTTAGTATGGTATGTTATTTGTATAGTATATACAGTAGAATCCAGCTATAACGACTCTCAAAAGACTGTCCTTATAAATTTCCCCAAATAACTTTGTCTAAGGTCCTAAATTTTCGTCGTAATATCCGTATAGACCCTATAAGGGTAGTCTTTATAGTCAGATTCTACTGTATGTAGTCCATTTGTCTCTTATGAGTCTTTAATTATCGTGATTTGCACTTAACCAGATTATTCTATGGTTATTTTATACATATAAAGGCATTTCTCCATTTTAATTAAAGCTCAACGGATAAATAATAATTTATTTAAAATCTCTTTACAAATTCTACTTCTTATCAAGTGTTAACACTGTCATTCTTATCAGAGCTCATAATCATTCCGAGCTCATAATCATCTTAGTCTGGGGCTCAGTAACATATTTAGGGATTTGCTCACCTTGAGTACATATTTGTGCAGCTCTCGGACCGCATCAAAGCAGCCGCAGCTGAACTATTACCTTCATAGCCCCAGTCGGCTGCTCCTGCTGCTGTCGTTGTAGATGGTCCTGCCGATGTCCTTGACAGGTTGAATGATGGCCAGCAGCAGCAGCAGCAGCAGCAGCATCGGCTGCTTGTCTTCAGCTCTGTTTGCGTTTCTTTCCTTGCTTCTTTCATATTTACTCAGTGGCCGAGTATCTGTGGCGAAGGGTAGCTAAATAAATGTGGCCACAACTGAAATGCAATAACGGCATAGATATAGACTCCGACTAGTTGTTGTTGCTGCTGCTGTCGCTGTTACTTATTCGTTTACAGGTTGTGACCACAGTCATCAGTGCGGAGCTGGCTTTAAGTTTATTTCCAGGCAAGGCAGCAAAAGGAAAAACATATTCATTTGACGCACGCTTGCAACTGCTGTTGGCCCATTGTTGAGCTCTGGTAGCCGAGGCGCAAATGAATTGCTGTAAACACTCGAGGCGCCACTCTGTTGCCGTTGCAAGTGCTTTCTGTTGATTTCTACTGTTTAGAGCTGCTTCCTGCTATTTAGCCGGCAGCGCTTAGACAATGGTTAAGCGTTCTCTCTGCACCCACTGGGCCGCTGAGCAAGGAGCCCGGGCACAAGGGGTTGCCCTTTAGTGTTTCATTTTTCATTGGAATATTCCTACTTTTTTCTTGTGTTTTTTATTCAGCTCTCTTTTTTTGCTTTTTTGCAAAAGTTGTCAGGCGCTTGCTGCTGATGCAGTTTTTAATTCATCTCTTGGGGAATTGAATGCACGCATTGTTCGAATGCGAAAACGAGTACGAACCGGATGCAGTAGCAGGATATTGCGACATTTGGGTAAATACTCAGCAGCAGCACACGTCAACGACTCTTACGCTGCCATGTGGCATAATTGTGGCTCCTGTTGCGATTTGCTGCGAAATGCTTGCAGCTTGTCTGCCTCGCATTTAACACATTTGACTCCGAGCACACGAGCCCCTGGCTAATGACTCTTCCCATCGGAAGGTTGATTCAAACTGGAAAAAAAAAGACTTTTGCATTGCATAGACATAGAACAGACTTACGCCTCAGTAACTCTTTAAGCTGTTTACATTGTCTTGTAATTTATTTTAATATTGTGCTCCACTGCGAAAGTAATTTCATTAAAGCTCTACTCTTGGCACAATTCTGCTGCTGTCGCCAACAAGTAGACGACGCCAACAAGTGGCAGAGGACGTCCGAATTGCTTTTAATTATGCGGCATCCGCGGGGTATCTTCCAGCTCTTGGCAAGCCGTCCTGCTGGTCAGAGCCGGAAGGGCAGTTAGTTAGCCCCCCCGTTGAACGCAGCTGAGCGGAAATGAATTGTTTGCTTTAAATTCACTCTGGGGTGTTGAGAAAAAATTTAATTTCTCCTATGAATTTATCTCGGTTAGCTTTTAACGTTAAGATGGCTATAGTACAGAATATATACACAACAAAAATTTTAAGTGCTAACAAAAAATTAGAAATAAAGTTTGTATAATTTCAATTTTGGAGTCAATTGAAATTTCTAAAAAAGATTTGCTTCTTTATTATTCTCGATGAGTTCTCCTTAATGCAAAAAACCTCTACCTATTGCTTACAAATATATGTGCTTAGAATAAGCCGAAGGTCCCAATAGAACTTTAAGTTTGTATTTATTTTATGTCAACTCTAATGTGTAATAAATAAATACTTAGAAGTACATCCATAATCTACTTTTTCGAACAGCTGCTGACAAGAAGATTATTTACATTGAAAGAAAACTAAAAACCCATAAGACCCTATTTTCTCTCACTTCAAGACCTCACGAGCTGCGACTCACCATCGTCGATGGCTTGCCAGTTTTATATTCGGCATTTACTTTTGGCCAACAATGTGCACATGCAGCTGTCACCGTGTAAAACATTTTACTTGTGCTGCCAAAAGATTTCAGTGGGAACGAGTGGGGCTTTAGAGAATTTACAGCCCGAAAAAAAGCTGAACGAAAATTTAATGTTTGGTTTAGTTTGTTTGGCTGTTCACGAAACAGATGTAAATGTTGCGAAAAATATATATGCATGTGTGTAAATAAATCCACCAAAGAAATAACAGACAGGCAAACCAATGTAAGTACATAAGAGAAAATCTGTAAAATAAATAGTTGTATATAATGTACATAAATTAAAGATTAAATTAATATGCATATATATCAAAATATTTAAATGTATAACAATTATTGCCGATTTTCTACTCAATTCACTATAAATATACCATTTGATATCATTTGATTTATAAAGGAAATTCGATTAAAAGTAATTGTTTTTTGAGGCAAAAATCAGAAATAAGTTCCTTTTTTACCTTACATAATTCTATGTACATACGTCCTACTAATGCCTGTAAAATCCCAATCCGTATGTATTCCAGCTCTTCTGCTTTACAACTTGTCCGCAGCAAACGTGTTTGTTGATCCTAATGTGAAACTCTTTGTGTGCTTAAACAGTTTCGTTTGACTGTGTATACAACAGGCGGACCTGTTGCATTCTGGTTGCCAACATGTTGGCGTCTAAATGAAATCAAATTGAAAGTATTTAATAAAACTAATATATAATGGATATATTATGTACTTACGCTAAAAAATTGATATACAAAATGTGCATTAACTGGTATATCAGAGATTCATATGTATATTACATATGTATATATTACTGCCAACCAATTGGCGATAATCGAACACTTTGAATATTTATATTTATATTGCATATTCAGTGTGCACAAGTCGTAATGATACGAGCTGTCATAAAAAAGTCAGTATAAATAGTGAATGTATTTATTAGTATTATATTATTACATACAGACAAGTTTTGTGAATGGAGCTCCACCAGCACCCTCTTAAAATTCGGAACGTTCTGCAGTGTGATTCCCAAATACGTCGTGCTGCATTAGTACTTGCGATGTTGATGACCACGCTTTAAAAGCTGTTTGTCAGTGATGAAATCACGTTGATTTCTTTCCATCTAATGACTGCGCTTCACGATAAAAGACAATTACTTTAACTGTTTTAACTAAATGAATCGACAGTCTCTCTCTTTAACAGCCATGTGAGATGGAATTTATAAACACTTTGAATTAGTGACGTAAGCACGAAATATCGATATATCGAATCATCGAATACTTACAAGTTCCAAAGCCACTTGTGCAAATATCGCTTATTAATATATCGAAATACCTGATATGTCACAGGAATATATTTTTTATTTAAAGAACTTATTTATATTTGATTTAAGGTATTAATATCAAGTTAGAATATTAACTTTAATTATTCATAATATTGAATATATTCACTTCAATCAAGTTTGGATATATGTAATTTGTAATAGATGTAAATCTCTTAATTCAATGAAAAAATTATATGAATTTTAAGGCACATTTAGGACATAATTTATTATTTTTAATAATAAAACTAATAAAAGTATAATTAGTGCATTTCTTTACTCGTGCTACCCAGCACTGGAACTGCTTCTTTTAAGCTTTTTATCGACCAATCGATAACTAGCTTCCGCCAGTTAATATTTTCGAAGTATCACAAGTGAACGGAGCGTCCTAACCTAATTTCTGATTGTCAGCATTTAAACAAAATGTGCTCTAAGAAAGTGCGCGAGTGGCTCGTCATGCTCACCATGGAGAAGTATGTGAGCTGCTTTTCCGAACGTGGGTACACAACCATTGCCCAGTGCAAGCAGATTCTGAGCAGCGACCTCATGCTGTTGGGCATCGACGACCCGAACCATCGCCAGCTACTGATAACAGGCGTGCAGCTGCTCATCAATTCGCCGGAGCTCTTCGATTGCCACGAGCCCTGCGAGCTGCACTTTGAAGATGACAGCCACGAGTTGGCCGACGATTTTATGGACTCCTGTCAAGTGGACTTGCCATCTGTGGATAGCGAACCGAATAATGATGGCGATTTGATGTCGCTATCTTTTGACTCCCTGGACCAGTTTGCTCTTAATATATCGGCTAGTTTCACATGCGTCGCCTGTCCACATCTCAAATTCAGCGAACTGTACGAGCTGGATCAGCACATAGCTGAACAGAGAGAGAGTAATGATCCCTCGGCCTTCGAGCATAGGTATGGCGCTGTCTTCAGCAGTGACAATATAGTGCCAGTTGAAGCAATTAAGCCCACTCTAATAATGGACTAAATGACAAAGCAAATAAACAAGAACAAACACTAGAGACTTGGTCAATTCTTTTTTGTTAAACCAAATGTTATTAATGGATTCAGTAGGTTAGTCAACTGGCATGCAGAGGCGTCTGGGGCCCAAGATGTGCTTGGTACGATGCAGTCACGATCTTTAGTCTCGCGCAGGTAACACTCATATGGACTTGAAAGCGAATGTCTCTGCATCATGCGTCTTAATCATGCGCTGCCACTCGATGCAGTGCGTCTCTGATCAATGTTTTCTTCATGCAAGGCATAACAATTGCTCAAAGCAGTTAGGTATATAACTTGCTATGACATCCTCTAATATATGTACATATTGATGGAATGTCTGGTAGCTATCCGAACTTGCAAGCTTGCAGCTAGCGGGCTATTAAAAACAGCGCGGATGAAATTCCATTTTGTTCGACTTAACATGCTGGACGTAGAGCTTATAAAAGTGTTCATAGTGCATCGAATCAGACTGAAAGTGCTTGCC